ATGTAGAGCTCGAAAATCCAAATCCAATGACACCAAGATCACCCAAATTCAACAATATTTACCCCTTCATCTTAACACCCGAAGCCAAAATCAGTTTCGATCGTCCGATCAAGAACATTTTGATCCTAAACCTCATTCCACATCAAATCAAAATCCGAGACCATAGGTACGTATATCCCAAAATTCCAAATCCAATAACACCAATATCACCCAAATCCAACAACGTTTACCCCTTCATCTTAAGACCCGAAGCCAGATCCGATTCCAATCGTCCAATAAAAGTCATTTTGATCCTGAACCTCATCATATCAAATCATAAATCCAACACCATAAGTATGTAGAGCCCAAAAATCCAAGTCCGACAATAGCAATATCACCCAAATCTGACACCACTTACCCCTTCATCTCAAGACCCGAAGTAGGAACCGATTTTGATCGTCTGAACGGGATCGTCTCTGATCCTAAATCCTATCCCCCAGAAAATATGAAATTCAACCCTATATATGGATAGAACTTGAAATTCCGAATCCAACGGTACCAAGATCATCCAATTCTGACACCGTTAACCCCTCCATCTTAAGACCCGAAGATAGACTCGATCCGGACCCTCCGTTTGGAATTCTCTTTACTACAACTTCGAGCCTAGGGCATCCCACGACCAAACTTCCCTCTCAGCCTCTAGAACCATCTTAAAATCAAAGATTTGACTAGCTAGAAGCCTCCAATCAATCAAGCCAATCACCTAAACTTTGAATGTCCAATTTAGGTAAATTGGTAAAATCTTCCTTTCATTGTCTTGATTGATCGAGAGAATCTCTTCCAAAGCTGTTTTGACATCCCATTCTCTCAATCAATCTCCCTCCAAAAACTTTTAAACCTCATCCATTGATCTCCCTTGTCTCCCATCTCAGCCCTCCATTCCCCTTTCAAAAAATCTATAAATACCACCCCTTTCTCACATTCTAGGCACACAATAAAGCCTAGAGAGATTATCCTACACTCACTAGCATAGAGAATACCCCCTCCACATCCCAAGCAGCCCCAAGCTTCCCTAACCCATATCTTATACTCTTTCTCTACCATCTCTCACATCCCTAGAGTCCCCCCAAATCAATATTACAGTCTAAGAAC